AGATTATATTGCGCGTTAAGGTGTCCTGACTCTGCTGCTTTTAAGTACCACGTGAATGCTTTTTGTTCATTTTTGATTGTTCCTATTTCGTTATCGTAACACAAACCAAGATTATATTGCGCGTTAAGGCGTCCTGACTCTGCTGCTTTCAAATACCACTCGAATGCTTTTTGTTCATCACTTTGATCAATGCCAATTCGTTGTTGATTCATGGTATTATTTCAGCTGTGTCTTAAGTGTAGAAGATAGAAATAGTCTGTTTCCCATATTTTTCGTTTTTGGTTGTGTACATCTGTATTCGTGAAAATTTGGCATCAACAATGTTTGTTATCGTTATACATGTACATACACATGTTACATGCATATACACATGTTACATGTACATACATATGTTAAATTGAAATAAATCAAAACTATATATAAACGAATTTTTTTGCGTAACAATGTAAATACTTTATTATTTTGTAGTATCGAATCAATTTCATTTTATTTATTATATACAGTAATAATAAGAATAAAATGCCCTAATGCTAATTACCGCTAGATAGTTAGTAACAATTATATATTTAAAAGATTTAATGTTTAGCACAATTAATTATTAAAAAGATTTGAAGCGATATTAGGTCCAAATTCCAGTACATTTACTTCTTGCAGTAGAATTTTTTTTCGATTTTCTCGTATTTCCTTTAATCCTTCCGATAAATTTTCTTTATCAATTTTAGTTGATGACAAACGAAGCTTAGACTGCTTAACCGATAATGACATGTTGGGATGAGTCTTTAGATCTAATATGTCGAAAAGGCCCTCTACTTGTTGTTGGTGTATAATTATAAAATATATTCGAGTCTTGATAAAATTATATAGATGTGGAAAATTACATATAGGTGATTTATCATTAGTGCAGAATTGCTCGAATTCTTTAAAAAATTTTCATTTTGTAAAAGTAACTCTCGTAAGCCAAAGTCATCAGTTATCCCATTTTTTAAGTCGTTTTCAAGTTCTGCAACTCCAGGTTTGTTGGCGATTTAATCCATGGTTTTTTCAAAACCATGTAGTAAAAACTAGAAGCAAAATATTTAGCATTGTCATCACCTAGGCAACAAACAACTAATGGTAGATGAAGCCAAGATAAGAACCATTTGTTGAAATGCTCTAATGCTTGGACGATTCCTTGTTCTAAGTCATTAAAAAATATTCCGAATTCCTCACTAGGTAATGCATCTAGAGCTTCTAACAATTCGTTAGCAAAAAACGTTTCGAAATTCATAGCAATGTCTTGAAGAAATTTATGCCATTCGTGAACTTTATCCGGCATCTCATGAGCCCGTCGACCTGGTGGTAATTTAACCAATTGTTCATTTTGATAGATACAAACTGCATTAGCGGTTCATAAAAATGATCTGCAAAATTTATCAAGCATTTTTATTTGGATATTTATTTTCAGATCAAGAAGCCAGGAATAAAAAAGATGCCAATCGTTAAGATATCATTTTGGAGCCTTACGATCCTCTAATTGATTAATGAACCAACTAGTAAATTCAATATGTGCTGATCGTCGATCAATATATTGCTTAGCGGTTCGCAATTCATAACCCCAGCGTGCTCGAAGTGATAGTTGATACTGATTGAAGTGAAATCCAACAAAGCATTATATAGATCTTTAATTATTGATGAATTTATATTCAGCGGTTTATCTTTATCACTAGAATCGTAGCCATCATGTAATTTCCAGGCTGAATAAAGTAGATTATACGGATGCGGTTTTCTTGAAAATCCGGTGCTATTAGAAAGTGTGCCAAACGCTTCTAATTCAAAATTGTTCATTATGATCTGAATAATATGAAGTCCGCAACCAATTCTTATTGAATTTAGATTAGTTTTTTATTGAAAAGAACGATGGCACCTTTTTTATCACCGGATATATATGATGTATTATGATATTGAGGAACTTATCGACTATTTGCAGAGGAATAATTTGAATTAGATGATGATGATTTGCGATTTTACGTAAAGAAAAAATAGTTGGTTTATCTTTTTTGGAATTAACTGAAGAAAAGTTTCACAGTTATGGATTTAAAGAAGGACCAGCAATAATATTGTCAAAATTTATCAAAGGGCTTAATGAAACAAAATTACAAAGTTTCTCGTCATATAAAATCTTAGATAAATTGAAGACAGTACTTTGTAAATATAAAGTCAATGGTGAAAAAATTACATGTATAAAACAATTCAATCCAGGTAAATAATTTCTTTTTGTAAGAGATATTTGATAGCAGAGCTAGTAACTAAAGACACGTAATTATATATTTTCTACAGTTTACAAAAAAATTGATGATAATGATAAAGCTCTTAAACAGTGTATGAAAGAAATTATATTAAGACTTTCGAATTTGGAAACTATACAAGACAGTACCAATGAAGCAACCCGTCCCACTGTATTTTTATTACATCTATCCTGAATATATCAATAATGATTACTCAAAAACTCACCAATAATGAAAAATATATATTACATACCAAGATGATGTTTCTGGTGAAGACTCGTCAATTATTTAATAAAAGGATATGAGGATCTTATATGTATAGCTGAGGGAAAACCACATAATGTTGAAGTCGGTTACCTCCAAAATATAAAACAACTAGAGAGCGCGAGTCATATGAATAAAAGAAAATGATCTGCAGATCAAGCATTTGATGATTATCTTTACAGGATAGTTTCTACAGGTATAGCAAAGTTAATGATGTCTTTGACATCCGCTCACTAAAATGTTTATTATATATTTTCTGATTATCTTTTTTTCTAGCCACGGAATTGCATTTTATTAAACTTGCTACAGAAGGGCTATATTGTACCAGTAAAAGCGAATATTGGATTAATCTATCCAAAATGGCATTGAAGGAGGATCTTGAATCAATTAGAAAAGATGTTAAAATAATAATTGGATTGATCGTGGGGTTATTAAGGATAGGATCACAATGCGCGATGAACATGAATTTAAAAAACGTCATATTCAAAGAATTAACAAATGATAGATATTTTTTTGTAAATGTATTTTATTTTCCAATGTATCTTATATTTTTTGTAACAATAAAGCAAATATAAATTTTTCCATGATGCTTAGCCACTTGGCATAAGTCAAAATTCATATATTATAAAAAACAAAGTAAAATACTGGCAACTTTTACACATGGAATATTATTGAAAAGCGATTCACAATATCACGTGCCTATGATGCAATAATAATTAATCTAAACTTTTTAATCAACATCATATAATTTGCTTAATCATATCACACACTTTGTTTTCAGATTATTTTGATCTTATTCAGGCTTTATTCATTATGTTTTTAACAAAAAGTCATTTTCATCTGATCTTGTAAGAGTTTATAACCATCAGTACAAGAAGTATCTAGAGATGATTGAATGAAGACATGGCCCTTTAACAAGAGAAAACTTAAAGGCAACTTCATTAAAAAAATCATTTAAGATTAGTAAATTTACATACAGAAAAACATAATTTTTGATAGCATAATTTGGCTTTGAGTCAGGTCAATACTAAACAGAGTGCTATATGCTCCACCCTGGATTTTCTTGGCATGTTATCATCTGTTGTGCTCTATTAAACAAAGCATCAATACTAAACAGAGTGCTATACGCTTCATCCTGGATTTTCTCATTGTAATATCAATTGTTAAGAATAACATGTTATAAATATTTTTTGATGCTTTAACCTATTTTATTATTACTTCCTGAGGTTGACAAAAAGATAGAAAAAAAGTAATTGATCGAGCTTAATACATTGACAAAAGACAAAAAAATTGAAGAGATGAGTTCATTATTATATTATTAACTTTTGATCTTCTTTTCTACTAATTATACGAATTGTTTTATATAATACAAGTACCAAACTTTATTAAATACTCACATGAGAGAGGAAAAGAAATTATATTCAGGTGAGCTATTAGAGTTATACAAATAAAATAATATAAGGATTCAGTTAAATTTATTTCTATATTTATAGTAAATTAATATTTTTTCTTCATCTAGGATTTGGTTTTCTCAAAAAATAAAGGATATGAGTCTGATTCTGATGATTATGAGAGAAAAAAATATCAGAAAAACTCATCATAAAAGAAGTAATACATATAAGTTTCATTATATTTGTTATTTATTACTATTATCTATTATTAACATGCTATTATTTATTTAGTTTAAGCAAACTATTTGCAAATGCTAAAAACAATCCATTTTTAGTATCTAAGAATAATTTGGACAGAGGAGATGAATCTGACTCATCTCTTTCAGATATTGAAATTATATTCAACTATCCAGCAATTATAAATGATGTTAAAGAACTAAAATTAGACTATTATCTTGAAAAGAGTCTAGATAGCTCATAAACAACATAAATATTTTTGAAAAATAGTATTTATTCAAGAAAAAATTATTGGAATTGGCAAATAAAAAAGATCTTTTTGTCATCAAATTTTTGATAAATATGCCTATAAATTAAGAATATTAGATGGCAAAATTCTTAAAAACTCTTATAATAGTAATTATTTAAAATTATATTATGGAAAGTCACATACAGCAGATATTGTATACTTTCAATTTTTTTATTTTCTAGGTTACTATGGAAACTAATTATAATTATCTTATATTATATAGGTCCTTCTTTTATTGAAGTCCAAATAACATTGCCCATTAATAGTAGAGGTTTTTGATGATGAATTATTAGATATGATGCACAAGAATATCATATAAAGATTTACCAAACAAGAGACAGAGTTTGATGATGAAATATTGATGAAGCTTATTTGTATTATCAAGATATACTATCTTCTTTTACACTTATTTGATATGAAAAAATTTAATATATTCATTCTTGTTATAGCATCTGCAATGGGAGGAGATCACTAGAGACAATGCAGTTTTAGAATTTTAAATTCTTACAGTTAGTTATTCTTATGAAGAATGTGCAATTTTGAAGACCATAAGAAACATGTGAGATTATAACGAATTTTGAAGCAAGTAGTATTTTACAGTATCTAATGTTAATACTTTTTATTTCTAATTATTAGCATTAAAAGAGTACTAAGAACCACATTAAAAAGTCCAACCAGAGAGATAGAGCTGTGCACCACCTACATTGATCCAATTCTCTATCCACTTTTTATGGATTCTGATCATGGTATATTCCTGCAATGGTAAGTAGTTTAACTTGATGATATTTTTATATATATATTCTCTAATCAATAGGAATACTACAGGTCAAATAAAGAGATATCAGAGTCCAAGTCTAGAAAGCCAATAGGCAAAGCCAAACAACCTGATGCTACCATCAACAAAATTGATTAGTTATCTTGGAGCTTGAGTAAAGGATATGGTGAAGTAAAAGTCCAAGAAGAAGCAAATAACTTATACCTTCTTTGCACTGATCTCATCTGGATATCTGTATTTAACAAAGATATAATTGACTTTTATAATATGAATTGTATGCTTGGATTTCAGGTTGTTGGTAAGTTTTCCAACAGTAACTTTTTTTCTGATTACACATTACTGAACAAGTATTCTATACTCAATAGGGCATCATATCTTATTCTATCTCATCTCTCTTTTGTGTGATGTCTTATATATTATGGTAGAAGTTGGTCATATTGATATACCTATGTCACTTGAATAGGTTCCTGTCTTTAATATGCTTCTCATTATATCTAATGCATTTTGGACCTGTCTACTGAAAAAAAAGAACTAAGCAAGCATAACACTCTTGCAACACCAAGTTTTAAAGAAATGGTTTCAAAAAATCAGAATCGGCATTAACCTTATTAATTATGATTTTAATTTTTTTGGTTCTAGTTATGACTCAAAATTAGTTTATAATATTAAAATTTTTCATTGTTTTGCATAATATAATTAAGCTAGTCTGTACCATATTATGTTGTATCTGATATTTTGAAATAAAATATTAAAAAGATCATAATATATTATATATTTTTACTATATATATATGATTGAGGGAGTTTTACATTGTCAAGATGATTAGCATTCTGAAATAGAATGAATACATAATTTATTGTATGTTTTACATCTTGGCAGAGTGATCTGTGTTCCAAGAAAATATAATTTTTTTTAACTTAATAATTTAAATAAATTATTCTTTATATAAAAATTATTATCAAACATGTTATCAGAACTTGAATTATTGAGATAGCGAGTTGCTAATCTTGAGATTAAAAATATCAAGTTAAAACAGATCATAGAAGAAATCACTAATTTTAGAATCAAAAATACAAAATTAAAACAAATAATAAAACTAAATCAAACTACTAATATTGCTTTACAATCTCCAATTTCTCTGGTCTTATCAGTAATTCCACAAATGTCTAATCCATCAAATAATAGTCACAATTGTACTGACTCTGTAAATCTAGAGCAGATGCAAAGTGTTATTATTGCAAATTCAGTAAAGCTACACTCCTCTCCCAAAGTTAATTCTAATAATATCTGAACAGATAGTTCCACATAATAAGGAATCTATCATATCTAGCCATGAAGTGATTGTCTCTAGCAATTCTGATATACAACAGGAATTAGAGACCTTCACATTTCCTATCCTTACAGAAACTATATTATTGGAAGAGAAAGAAGAAAATAAATTTCTGAAATAACTATATAAAGAACAGATTAGAAATAATATTAGAGAGAGAAATTGGGAAAAGAAGCTTCAAGATCAAGATACTCCCTTCATTATTTCTGAATAGAAAAATAACAAATCAAAATCTCAGAATGCCTCTTGTGATTCATCTCAAATTTCTATCTTA